TATTCTTTATTTTCTTTTGGGTTTTGCATTTCCTTTACTCTAAAAAGGGACCATTGAGACCAAAGATATCTGTTTGGTTTTAGTGTATAGAAAAACATAAGGCCAAACCAGGGAATACTGCAAATTTTACAAGAGAGTATAAATTCATTTATTTGCATCAGTGGATTATGTAGTGAAGGTTTATCCAAGCCAACGACAAAAGCATTCTGTATGAAGAATTAGTTTCTTTTTGCCTCCTAATCACTTCATTCATATGATATTTTTGAGTTTACATTCAATTACGCAAAACAGGAGAAAAGTGCCATACAAGCACGCATTATAAAGGATTGGAAATAGTCAGCTAACAGAGAAAAAGAAAGAGAAAACTACAAAGGTTAAATAAATATTTGGGAGGCATTGCTGAGCAAGCGATTTGAGACAAGAAAATATTTGCTAGGTTTATTGTCTGCCAGGACATTATCAGCAATTCAAAGAATGTACACTGTATTTAATCTGGGATATTTCAATGTAATTATTTTCAAATAGACCACCACTAATAAATAGGTTTTTTTTGTTGTTATATGTAGATGGTATATTGTAGTACTATACAATTATAGTATAACAGTAATTAGCTGAGTTAATCCTGAACAGTTCAAAGTTTAAGAAATGCTTGCAGACTGGCAATTTCATAGTAACATGGCAAGGAAATAACAACATGGAAGTACAGTACAGTTGCCAGTTTACTTTTTTTCTGGATGAGTTTACTGGTGCTGGCCACAGCAGTTATAATTCCTGAAGGACATTTTGGGATTGATTAACTGTCTGCTGCTTCTCACTCTAACTGCCTGGTGACAAAAGCAAGATGGAATTTGCTTTAGAAAATCTGTAAGGAGAGGGCCGTACACATATTCCTTTTCCAAACGCTATGATTTGGTATTCTTGGTGCTACTGTATAATAGGATTTGGATTAGATCTGAGCTTTACAAGTCTTTCCATGTAGATTCTGTGTACAACACCTGATTTGCAGTTAAAATAAAACAAAGCAAAACAACATTATAGTGACTCCATTTTTATGTCATTATTTATTGTCTCTTTTGACAAACTGTGTTATCACACAATCACTGAATTCCAAAAAGTATAACAGCAGGTTTAGAATGCAATATAATAGACTCTAAATTAGTACTTTGTATTTCTTATTAAATAAGAATAAAATACAGAAGTCTGAGGCTGATAAGAAATCATTTCTTATTGCAGTGGAGGCAGAAATGCTAATTTAAAAGAAAAAAGGACATTACCAGAAAATTGGTGGCTGTTCATTTAGTTCTTGTTGTTGTTGTTCAAAATAAGGTAAATACCAATTCTAAATGAGAGTAAACACATGGTATCCAGTCTTTCATGCTAAATAGAAAATAGCTGGCCCAAATGTGCAATTTGGTGCAAAAAAATGGAAATAGGCTTACTTTCAGAGTGCATGTCAACATTTTTTTCTACATTTAAAAATACTGTTTAGTCAGAAATGGTTAGGTGAAGAATTACTTCCTGTTTACATTTAGTCTTATTAAAAATGTGACATTGCATACTATTTAGCAAAAGTTTATGGAAACTGAGGAGATGTAACCAACTTGCCATTATTATAATAACTAGTCGTTATTTGCCGACTAGTGTCCATAGAATTGTAAATAATGTATACTTCAAAAGTAAATTCGATTTTTCTTCATCAAAATTTTCCCTCAGTTATCCATTAGGGCTGCACATGTACCCTCTATTACCTTGCTGGAACACTCCTTCTGATCCTCCTCAGTTTCCTTTTACTGCCTGTGATTTGTTGTTAGAGCATTTGGTCTTGCTATCACAAGTTTTCTTTCTCTTTGGCTACATCTACACTGGCATGATTTTCCGGAAATGCATACAGATGTGGTCACCTCATCTCAAAAAGATATTTTGGCATCAGAAAAAGTTCAGAAAAGGGCAACAAAAATGATTAGGGTGTTGGAACCGGTCCCATATGAAGAACAATTAAAATGACTGGGACTTTTCAGCTTTGAAAAGAGGATACTAAGGGGGGATATGAGAGAGGTCTATACAGTCATGACTGGTGTGGAAAAAGTAAATAAGGAAAATTTGTTTACTTGTTCCCATAACCTAAGAACTAGTGGTTACCAAGTAAAATTAATAGATATCAGGTTTAAAACAAACAAAAGGAAGTTTTTCTTCGCACAGCGCATGGTTGGTTTGTGGAACTCTTTGCCAGATGAGGTTGTGAAGACCAGGACATTAACAGGGTTCAAGAAAGAACTAGATAAATTCATAGATGTTATATCCATCAATGACTGTTAGCCAGGATGGGTAGGAATGGTGTCAGAGTCTGGGAATGGGTGACGGGAGAGGGATTGTTTGATGATTCCCTGTTCTGTTTACTCCCTCTGGGGCATCTGGCATTGGCCACTGTCGGAAGACAGGATACTGGGCTAGATTGACCTTTGGAGTGACCCGATATTGTTGTTCTTAGGTTTTTAATCTCTAAAGTCTGTCCATCAGTCTCCATTTCCTTTTCCCAAATATTCTGCAAAATTGCTTTATCTATTTATGCAAAAACATAGTGTGCTCTGGCTGCATCAATGGAAAAAGCAGTTCATTTTAAAATCTATTAGGGCTAGATGGAGCAGCCTTTTACTCCCACTGATTAGCATTTAGTTTCTTGAGAAGTCCCGCTGACTTCAACGAGCCTTCATATCATATGCAATTAAGTACTCAGCAATTCACTGATGTTAAGGCCAGAAGAAATCATTATGACCATCCAGCTTAAACCTCTTCATCAACAAGGCCCCTGTGAGGAAGTGGCAGAATCTGTCTGCTGGTGCCTTTAGTGCTGTTGCTGTGCTATCGTTCTCTTCTGACTTGTCTTATTTTGTGCTGATGTGATGATACTCTAGGAATATCTTTATTGTAATGTAGAATATTTTTAACTTTGGAAACTGTTTATCTGTGTTAAAAAATAAAAGACAGAACAGCTAAACCTCTGTTATGCTTTTGAATGACAGAAGAACCTAGAACCAACACTGTAAAATATATGCGGTCCACATTTCCTTTTCAATCTCCTTGAATGCTGTCTTGAAGATGCACCGTTCTTTTACTTTTGGGCTGCGTCTAGACTGGCATGATTTTGCATAAAAGCAGCCACTTTTGCGCAAAATCTTGCCGCCTGTCTACACTTGCTGCGAGTATTTGTGCAAGAACACTGACTTTGTAATGTACAAAATCAGTGGTTCTTGTGCAAATACTCTGACGCTCCCGCTCAGGGATAATCCCTCTTGCGTAAGTATTCTTGCGCAAGAGGGCCAGTTTAGACAGCAACATTAATTTCTTGCGCAAGAAAGCCCGATGTTTAAAATGGCCATCGGAGCTTTCTTGCGCAAGAGAGCGTCTACACTGGCACGGATGCTTTTGCGGGAAAGCAAATCTTTTGCGCAAAGGCACTTGCCAGTATAGAGGCTCTCTTGCACAAATACTTTTAACGGAAAATCTTTTCCATTAAAATTATTTGTGCAAAATCATGCCAGTCTAGACGCAGCCTTGAAGTTTGCTAGAAAGTTTTAATTAACCTTGCTGCTGAAATTTCATATCCAGGATTATTTGTCATCCTCTGTGGAACAAATTTATAGAAGTGGAGTTTCATTGTGTGATTGATAAGATCAGGATATCACTAATCTCTATGAAAGTTGGGCAATATTCAATACATGTCTTCATTATTTGACGTAGTTTCACTTATCTTCCCAGAGAAAGGCAGAGGTGATGAGTGAAGGGGAACTTCTGACAAATGTTAAAAACTTTGTAAGTGATATTGGATATACTGAAATTTCTACAAGAGGTTCATGCTTCTGCTATATATTTTAAGCAAAAGAATGGCTTGTATTGATATTTTGATGGAATAAACAATTTTGAAAGTATCACTGGTATTGATGGAGAAAAGTTAAATTCCGTGAAGAAAGATCGTTTCTGTTACTATTAGAAATTTTTGCTGAGATGGAATTTTACTCCTGGAAATTCATTTAGGAAATATATTTGAATGAAAATGTAACAGAGTTTCCAAAAATAAATTATTTGGTTACAAAGTGGTGGAGAAAGTGTGGTAAAATTCTAAGTGGCAATACTGGAGAACCAAGGGAAATTCGGATTTGCAGCATTTAAAATATAAAGGTGTTAAATGATATCTTTTCATGAAGGCTATATTTCCCCCTCCTCCCCATGTCTAGATTCTGAATTATATATTATAGCAGAGGACTTTATTTGTTCAGTTTTTAAAGGCAGTCAGTTTTGGCATACCTCTGTTTCCACTGAAGTCAATGTGAATTCTTAAATTGATTTCAATGGGAGCACACTTTGGCCCATATTGAGCACTTTAGAAAATTCCAAAGATGCTTTGTACCAGTATAGTTAGTTCCAAAATGGAAAAGGAATATGCTATATGAATATAAAGTGCCTTTCATTTAGGCTTCAAAGAATATGATTTTTATCAGTAAGTTGATAAAATTGATTTTAATTTTCACACATCTATAAAACATATTTCAGTTGATAGTGATAACATGTACGTATATGCAAAGGAAGTAATATGCTTTAGAATTTAGAGTTTGATTTACAGATATTTACTTTTTTTTACATGTGATAGACACTTATTATGTTAATGGTAATAAAGTTTACTTTTCCTTGAATCTATATGTCTGTCTTTACCTATTGTCTGACCTCCTCCCCACCAAAATTTAAACAGATAAAAATTTAAAAACAAGTTTAAAATGAACATGAAAATGATCCATTGAAATTCTAAGAAAATCAAATTCTGTCAACATACTAGCCATCACTGTTTTGGTTTCAAAATAAAATCATACCCCTCTGTGAAATAACACTTCTGGTACTAAAATTATATTAGGCCAAGCCTTAAAGATACATTATAAAGGAAAAATCATGCTTTGCCATAAGCCTTTAATTTATTTAAATGAGAGGCCATTTGAGGTTGACCTCACAGTTCAATCATGCTGCCTGGTGAACTTCATGAATTTGTGGTTGCTGCAGTATTTGCAAATGTTATTTGGGTTCCAGGTCACATCCATCCATGCTATTATTATCCTTGGATCCAGAATAGTTGTAAAAAAGTTAAAGTACTTCCACCAGCTTGTAATCATCCATTGCCAGGTATTTTCCTCTTTCTGAGCTCTCTCTTGTTCTTTCAAGGCCAAATTTACCCTTTCCAGAGTCTCATGGATTGCCTTTAATCACACTTATGCTCAAACTTCTGCCGATGGTTAACAGTGTTCTCAGCCCTTAGTTGTACATTCATTAGCATGGCATTGGTATCTTCATCATAATCCAGTTGACATGCAAAGGTAAAGTCCTGGGCTGCTTCCTCCCACTGACCCAGGAGCATGTATGCTTGCCCTCTACACTTGTAAGGTTGTGCTGATTTTGAGTTAAGCTCGCAGGCTCTGTCACAGTCTCTAATGGCAGCATTTGGCTTCTGGAGTTTCAAAAAGACATATGAGAGGTGGAAGTGAGGATTCAACTTGATAGAGTCTGTGAATAAGTCAATAGCTTTCTGAAGATCACCTTCATCGAGAGCAGCAAAGGCCTCTTCCCTCCTTTCATTGGACTGGCCTATCATCTCAGGTGTTATTTCCAGATGTTCATCTCCTATTTCTTGGGGACCATCCAGGTCTGGTTTGATAACACCATCATCACCAAATTCGGAGTCACTCTTCCCACTTTCTGCTGCTTCTGGTTGTTTCCCTTGCTCCTTGAATCTCTTCTCCTGAGAGGCATGTTTCTTTGAATATAATAAAGTATCTCCCATGATCTCTACAGAGTCCCTCAGGAAACTCAATTGCTTAGCCCTCAAAAGCGTTGGATCCTGTTGGTAAAGTTCCAGCAAGACCTGAAGTTCAGTAAAGTTTTTTGGATCCATGGTGCCTTCACCAAAATAGAGCTGGGTAACACAGATTTTGCTGGGGCAGAGGAAAAAATATATAATATAAATCCTTTAGCGGTTGTTTTCTCTACTAACTCAATGCACGTGAACCATTGAGGAACTAACTAGATTTGCATGTTTCCTTCTGACTGTTGTTTTTATACTGCAGTTTGCAAACTCAGCTGTGGCTTTTTTTCAAGGTGTAAGTATCTATTACAGCACTGGTTATGTCACAACTTCTGATGTTTAGCTATTTATTCACCAAGCATGCATTCACTGAACTACATATATTATAGGATAGAGGAATGGGAAACAATTGATCATTCCCCTGTATTTTTATGTTATTGTGTTATTGCTCTTACTGTAATTGTAGTCACCTTTTGTTATATATATATATATATATATATAAATATAACAAGATTAGTTTGATCCCTTTATTTTTTTTTCAAGAACATAAGATCTTGAACTGCTATATACAGGGTAATAAAACATTCATAGATAGTCATTTTGTGACTATAGAATTTTTTACCTCTGATCGCTTTATTATCACTACTGTAATAACAATAGTACCAGATTTAAGGCACTATCGTCAGTCTCTATCACCATTTCCACTAAAGTCTCCTATCATTTATTATTATTAGTTACCTCTGGATCAAAATGGACCAAGGGATGAAGATTTTTCCTTAATTTTAAGTAATATCTTTCTAGTAATTTTTTTTAACTAAGGCTGTGTCTAGACTACATGCCTCTGTCATCAGAGGCATGTAGATTAGACACATAAGCAAAGGCAAATGAAGCCACGATTTAAATGATCGCTTCTTTAGAAAACATCAGGAGGTTACTGTTCTGAATCCAAAATAGGTGCCTATTTCACAGTGGAGTCTTGATTATCTAAATAGCAGTAGTGAGAAACTGTGTTTTTTCTAAAGAGGATAAAATTTCCCACTGACAATTTCCTTTATTATCCAAAATTATTCTTTCCTCTGTTACAGTTTACTTTGAATTATCCACTGTAAACTGTCTCTTTTTTAAACCTATTTAGAGGTAAGGAAAATGCATAAAGAATCTCAAGTCAGAATGATCTATTAGGGTACGTCTAAACTACATGGCTCCGTCGACGGAGCCATGTAGTTTAGACGTACCCTAATAGATCATTCTGACTTGAGATTCTTTATGCATTTTCCTTACCTCTAAATAGGTTTAAAAAAGAGACAGTTTACAGTGGATAATTCAAAGTAAACTGTAACAGAGGAAAGAATAATTTTGGATAATAAAGGAAATTGTCAGTGGGAAATTTTATCCTCTTTAGAAAAAACACAGTTTCTCACTACTGCTATTTAGATAATCAAGACTCCACTGTGAAATAGGCACCTATTTTGGATTCAGAACAGTAACCTCCTGATGTTTTCTAAAGAATGACTAGTGCTGCACACTTGCTTTTCAATAAATATTCCACTGATACAAATAATTGAAAAATTGAAATGTTACATAGTTAAATACTTTATTCCTTAACTGTTCTTTTGAATGATTACACTATAGTTACAATGGCATTAGTGTGTCATTCAAGTAAGTAATAATCAGCCTTAAAATCAGTGCTTTCTAGCTCATAATTATAAAGGAGAAGCGTGCCCTCCCACATGAATCATATGGATCATCTCCTTTCCCTGTAACATCCTTGTGGCTACCACAGCAATTGCGTGTACGGAAAAAGCAATTTTAGAAAGGTGTTTAATTTCTTTTTCAAATGTGATACAAAAGTGACTGAAAACCAAGAAGAATCCAGAATCATGTGATCACACTTTCCTTTTTGAGCCAACAGGTAGTGATTTTTACACTGCTAGTAGTCATGAAACACATTCACAGCTGTTTTTAAAGCCTGACTTGTATTCAGAAAAGCTTGGAAGAGTTCATGAGTCTCAAAATGCTCTGAAGATCTATCCTTGAGTCAATGGGCTCTCCTAGAAGTTCTGTCTTTAAAAAAAATTGCTCCACTGATTTGGGTTTTTAAATAAGGACAGAGAAGCTTTTGATTTTGAAATTAAGGCTCTTCCAAAGAGTAGGTGAATGAGAGAGCACACCATTGTCTGTGTTGGACTATCAATCAGGAGTGCGTGATAATAAAAAATAAATGAGGCTAAGACTCATCTATTTTAATTACCTCTTTTATTTTCTTAACAAAACATCTTGACACACATGGCTCTCTTCCCTTCAACAGCTTAATGGAAACAACTACATGGGAAGGAGGGACATGGCTGAGTTTTTAGACCAAGCTTGCCTGGAGTGAAAGTGGAGGGGCGTTTGGCAAGGAGCTGACGAAGATACGCTCATGAGCTAGAGGCTTTGGGTATATTGAAGATAGCAAAGGTGAAGAAGGGAGCAGTGCAGATGGAGGCTGCACTCATTTTCAGAAAGGAAATGAAGTAAAGGAGTTTTCTGGGATGCACAGAAGCACCACAGATATGGTAGCTGACATTCTTTGGAAGATGAAAAATAGATTGTATGTGTGCCTGTAGAGACAGGGAGCCCAGAATGTACTGTTGAAGAAAATGGTGTACCTAAATATCACCTCAGCCTAAACCTCTTTTATTTTGAGTACCATCCACTACAGTTAAATATATTTAACTAAATTAGTCTATGCTCTCTGAAACCTGAAGCAGAGAAACTATATTACTAGAAGTTAGGATTGTATACGGACACTTCCATGCCCTCACCTGAGTGAGCTTTGCCCAATCATTTTTAACAAAGACCATTCTCAAATGAAGTTCAGTCATACCCTTTAGGATAAATTTTTAGTCAGACAGTGAATCTCTTCAAGATGAGCTTTTCTGCCTAGAGCCTCATGTTAGCACTAGTCCAGTATATCCGATAAAAAAAAATTAGAAGAGGACCAGGCCTCCTCCCACTTGTTTAAAATGTTATATCTTGTTCATTTCAGAATTATTTCATTTTTAAGGTCTGTCCATGGCATGACTGCTTACATGAGGTATCTGGAGACTCTCAAAGAAATCAACTTGCATTCTTGTTTCCTCAATTAATATTGAGTGAGTTCAGGTTTCCATTCAGCATTATGAAGAGTACTCCCCAAATTCAAGCAGATCTGCACTTTCACTATGCAGATTCCTTTAGTATCATGATTCCAAAAGGCAGCAGTCCATCAGAGCACATAATCATGAGTAAAGTGTTAAGCACCCTAACTGAAGCCAATGAGGAGACTCTCGGAGTTAAAGAAAAGTTATGTGCTTAAAATGCTGTGCTAGCAGAGTGCCAGAAGACACAAATATACAATTCAATGACAGCAGTTCTGTTACTGCATTTTATTATGAGCAAGTTCAAGGGCAGAGTTACATAGAAATGTTTGCTGGAATCTTGTGTTCACTGGCTTTTTATAATATAAACATAATTGTAAATAGGACTGTAATTAAATATTACTATTAAGTTAATCGTTACAAAATCAAGCCATACGAGAGCCTATTCTCCCCGGAAGTCAACTGGCAAGTCTCTAATGTTTGTGTCAACTTTTTTGCTTTTTTTGGTATTTCCTTTTAAATCCTCACCTGCACACTTCCTTTCCCCAGGAAGGTATGAATAAAAGGCAGTTTGAACTCCTTTCCAGCCATCCTTGTTTGTTCATGTAAAGAATATCATAAAGTGTTAACATATTCAAACTTAGATGAAACATCTTAAATATTCAACTCATATCTTCATGAATTTCATTCTTGGCTCCCATTTACCTGCCAGTAGTTTCACTAGTTTTATTATAATATGGAGCATTAAAATTCATTGTCTTGTACATTCAGTTGCTATTTCACATGATTGCTCTCCCACACAGAAACCCATTTGAAGGTGAAGATACTGTGGTCTTGCAACAGTGTGGCTGTGCCTAGACTGGCAAGTTTTTCTGCAAAAGCAGTCACTTTTGTGGAAAAACTTGCCAGCTGTCTACATTGGCCGCTTGAATTTGTGCAAGAACACTGACAATCGAATGTAAGATTGTCAGTGTTCTTGCGCAAATACTATGCTGCTCTCGTTCAGGAAAAAGCCCTCTTGCGCAAATGTATTTGTGCAAGAGGGCCAGTGTAGACAGCTAAAAATTGTTTTGCGCAAAAAAGCCCCGATGGCGAAAATGGGGATCGGGGCTTTCTTGCGCAAAACCGCATCTAGATTGGCACGGACGCTTTTCTGCAAAAATTGCTTTTGTGCAAAAGTGTCTGTGCCAATCTAGACGCTCTTTTCCGCAAATGCTTTTAACGGAAAAACTTTTCTGTTAAAAACAGTTGTGGAAAATCATGCCAGTCTAGATGCAGCCTGCATGTTTAAGAGAATGAGGGTTACTTTGCTATTTTCCCATAGCAGGATTTTCTTGTGGCTCACAGAAAATATGTGAGATGCCTCATTACAAATAAAGCTGAAGCAAATACCAGTCAAGAAAGGAAATGCACATATCACATCAGAGATGGTGGTTTTAATTGGAATAAGAAATCATTTCTGGTTGACAATGATCAGTCCTCTTTTTCAGGTAAACTTTACTTTTGTATGTCACAGTATTTGTAAATGTTTTCTGGGTTCCAGACTACATCCAAAAAAGTGATCAGAACTCCTGGATCTAGTGAGGTTATTAAAAATTTCAGCTGTCTGTGAGTTTTTCTAACCATGTCCTGCCAGTAATTTCCCCCCCTCTGGATTCTTTCTTCCTCCTCCAAGGCCAGTTTCACCCTTTCCAGCCTTTCCTGTATCTCCCTTAATGCACATTTTTGCTCATACTCTGCCTGATGTGCAGCAATCTTCTCAGCCATTAGCACCTTTTTTAGCCTGGTATAAGTGTTTTCATCATAATCCAGTTGACATGCCAAGGTCAAGTCCTGAGCTGCCTTTTCCCAGCATCCCAGGAGCATGTGTGCTTGCCCTCTCCACTTGTAAGACTGTGCTGAATTGGGGTTAAGCTCACAGGCTCTGTCACAGTCTCTAATGGCAGCATTTGGCTTCTGTAGTTTCAAAAAGACACTGGCTCGATTAACATATGAGAGGTGGAAGTGAGGATTCAGCTTGATAGCATCTGTGAACAAATCCATAGCTTTCTGAAGGTCACCTTTCTCTAGAGAGGAAAAGGCCTCTTTCCTTTTTCTGTTGGCAGAGTCTATCAATTCATTTGTTACTACCAAATGTTCATCTCCTATTTCTTGGGAACCATCCAGATCTGGTTCAACATCACCATCAATTTCCAAATCACTCTCCTTGATCTCTGCTGCCTCTGGTGACCCTTCCTCCTTGGTTTTCTTTTCTGCAAAGACATTGCATTGAAGAAATGATATGATATCTCCTATGATCTTCACATGGTTGTGCAGTAAACTTAGCTGCTTGGCCCTCTGGGGGGTTAGAGCCTGCCTGTCTAGATGCACTAGGGCCTGCAGTTTATACACTCTTCTAAAATCCATGACATCCGGCCCTGCACTCTATAGAAGATCTGGCAGGCTGCTGTTCTGCTTGTAAGCAAAGAGAGACAAATTAAATTACCAGCTCCTCAGACAAATAAATCACTATGGTGTTGCAATAGAACAAAATAAACTAGAGCTTTCCCACACTATTACAGATGCTGATGGTGATTAAAAAGTGGTGATTCCAACTCTGTGGATTAATGATGTCATAATGCATGCAAGTTCTGAAGATGTAATCCATTCTAGTACAATATCCTAAAAGCCTAACTGTATTTATCATCTTAATATTTTTGATATTTTTTCAAATGTTTTATATATAACTATATAAATTCCTGGGACTGAATACAATAAAACACTACACAGATGCCACATGTAGCTCCTATAGTATGTTTCATGTTTTAACACTGGTACTATATTATCTGTACAGTTAAACTAGATTTCTTATTTAAATAACATTATTATTGTCTAGTTCCCAAGATGCGGGGTTTTTTTCTGGATTAAAAAATTCTTACGTAATAGACCTTCAAACTGCCTTGCTCTAGTGGGAAGATAAGATTGTCCTAACTGTATGGTTGAGAGTAAAAAAGAGGAATTCCTGGTTCTCTCTTGCACTTGGTGTTGGTGAAGAGGGTAAGAGAAGTGCCCAACTCCCATTGACTTTCAAATAGAAGGCAGATTTAGTCTAATCCTGCAGTCCTCACTCAGTTAAAATTCCTATTGTTTCAAGTGCATTTTGTGTAAGGCGTGAACATAATTAGGTATTATAGTTTAACCCAAAACAATATGTTATAGGCTACTGAGCTCTTCTCTGCAGTGACAGAGTCAATATTGAGCAACTCTGAATCATGATCTATAATCTTCACTTGGTCTATCTGGTTAATAAGAAGAGGGAATTTTTATACAAACATCCACAAAAAACAAACAAACAAAAAACACCCTGCACTGGGCCTGCATGTTTGTGCCAGATTAACTTATTTCTCTTTCAATCACAGCCTGGCACAGCTTTTTTATTTTGCTGTGCCCTTTCCCTTTCTCTGCCAGGCTGGTGGCATCCTGTCATAGATGACAGTATTCCTCATAAGAGAACCAAAAATGTGCCACCATAAGCCCACATCTTGAATATTGCATACAGATATGATCGCCTCATCTCAAAAAAGATATATTGGCATTGGAAAAGATTCAGAAAAGGGCAACAGAAATTATTAGGGTTTAGAATGGGTCCCATATGAAGAGAGATTAAAAACACTGGAACTTTTCAGTTTAGGAAAGAAGAGACTAAGGGGGGGATATGATAACGGTCTATAAAATCATGACTGGTTAGAAAAAGTGAATAAGAAAAAGTTATTTACTTATTCCCACATTATAAGAACGAGGGGTCATCAGATTATATTAATAGGCAGTGGGTTTAAAACAAAAAAAGGAAGCTTGTCTTCACTCAGTGTACCATCAACCTGTGGAACTCCTTGCCAGAGGATAATATGAAGATTAGGACTGTAACAGGGTTCAAAAAAGAGCTAGATGGATTAAATGAGGTTAGGTCCATAAATAGCTATTAGCCAGGATTGGTAGGAATGGTGTCCTTAGCCTCTATTTGTCTGGAAATGGATGGCAGGAGTGGGATCACACGATGATTACCTCTTTTGTTCCCTTTCTCTGGAGCATCTGGTATTGGCCACTGTCAGCAGACAAGATATTGGGCTAGATGGAGCTTTGGTCTAACACAGTATGGCTTTTCTTATGTTCTACTCCTGGTCCGGAGTTACTGAAAGTTAGATTCATCCCACCTTGATGAGGTCCAGGATCCCCCTAGAAGCAGAGGCTGGAGCTCTTCTTCGTCATTGGACTGTGGAGGTTATGGAAGCAGGAGTGTTGGCAGCCATTGGAGTATGGGGACACTGATGATGCTCATGGTGTGGTGTGCTGTTTGCTCTCACAGATGTCACAAAGCCAGCCATATGGGACAGGCCCGTCTCCAGTTCCATGGGAGGAGGAGAGAAGTGGAGATCCCAGGTATGAACAGAGAGGTCAGAGCTGACAGCCGCAGGAAGCCTCTGGAGGCCAATTAGTTTGAATTTGCAGCACTGGAGCATCCACACTGTTATTTTGGACTTACAAGTTCAGAAGTAGCATTATTCCTCATGACAAGCAGGAGAACAGAATTTGAATTTCATGGCCCCTTATTCTAGAATAACAGCCTTGATAGTGCGGATGCACTACTTACAAATTCAAACTTGAGGCGACAGTTATTTCAGATTATAGTCCTACTGCAGACCTATGGTCCTACTGTAGACCAGGCTTTATAGCTAGCCTAAATGCAAGGTCAATGGTTAGCCTATAACATCTATATAGGTGACTAAGGGATTTATAGAAGCACTAAGTAATTAAGCTCCTAATCTAATACACTTGGAATTAGATTTAGTCTTCTACGTACCTAAGTCACTCCTCAAAATAAAACTTTAGCTCTCAAATCACTAAATCAACATCAATCCATTAAAAAACTATGCCCCTTTATGGGGTCTCAAGTTGGGCACTCAAAACCTGAGGTATCCAAAATCACTAGTAATTACTGAAAACTTAGGACTTTGTTTCGGGTCTCCCAGTGACAGGAAAAATGATTAATGAAGACAAAGATATGTGAAAAGTCTATATTGCACATATAATTTATATTTTACAGATAATCCCATATGAATACAATTTCAGAAACACCTTTGAAATTATGGACTTGATAATGCCTTCTTTGTTCACCCCAAACTGTAACTCTAATCAGCAGGGGTTTTAGATACAGAACAAATGCATATTTATCAACTAGATGATAGAGTAAGAAATTAGTATTACCAAGTGGTATCTTCATTAGAGGAAGACTGTAAAAACAGTGGTAATCATGAATGACAGATCTATTGTAAGTGAAAAATGCAAATACTAAAAAGTCTCCAGAGTTTTAAATGATCAATGAAGTGATAGTATAATGAAAAGCAATGGAGAGAAAAAACAGGATATATATCATCAAATACATTTACCCTATAGAAAATCATCATAGCTGTATAATTGCTATCAAGGCAAGATTATTTAAGCTGAAATATTGCTTTATTAAAGGAACAACTAATTGGCATCAGTACACAATGGAACATTTACAAATGGAAGTTTACAATAGCTCATTAGATTGAATGGAATTTAGTAATTTCTTAAACCTTCTAACACATGCTGTCAGGGCAAAACCATTTTAGGGAAAAAATTAACCCTATATTTGCTGATTGTTACATGTGATCTCAAAGCAAACTTTTTTCTAAAATATTTTAATCCTTCTTTCCTTTAAGTTTTCACATTCAAGCACATCTCAATTTTTGGTGATTTTACTTGTATTTCTGGTTCAGTCAGAAACAAGAAACACTGATACGTTTGCTACCTTCTACCATGTGGTTCTTATAAGTTACTGTTTAACTTCTGCAATTTTCAATTGGACAATTTTCGTATTTACAAATATCAGTCTTTTCTACAGGTGTCAATTGTCGTTATTTTTCCTGGTCTGTGATGAGTTTGAAATCTGTTTATTGGATGGTGCAACGTTTAATCAAGTCAGAAACTTTCCTCTCTCATTCTCATAAGGAATTTTACTTTATGCTAATGGGTGTGATCATGTGATCATTTTTATACACAAATGCTAGAAGTCTAAATACTATCATAGGTTTGTGACAGGTAGACTTGCCCCCCATGCAGGATGCGATCTGATATGGGGGGGTCCAACTAAGCATACCTGTTTTACCAGCTTTGGCTTCCTTACCCTGTCCTTAATGGCCTTCACCCTCAAGCCTTCTTTAGCACACATACGGGTCAGGCCACACCCACCTTCAGACATAGACTAAAATTAGCTTTGTGAGAGCGTTCAGTTCAGGGGTTTATCTAGCACTGATGTGCACATCTCCTTTTGGGTGTAAATCCAAAATAATAATGTTTTGAGCCTTATAGAGTGATCTGCACAGCACAAGCTCATAAAAATTACCCTCTCCCTCAAGGTGGAGAGAGACTTGCTTATTATTTTGCCTCCCTCTTCCAGATAGGAGTAGGGGTCAATTCAGAAGAACTCTGTACATATGACGTATAGGGTGGTGAGGCCTGCATTCCCTCACCTTCCCCATTTCCTCCCTCTCCTCTTCCCTACTACAAATGAGCCAGAAGCAAGCCTCTAGGAACATACGCCATTGTAGAAAGAATGAATTGTAGATAAGGGCAGGCACATAACAATCCTGTTTACCCAAATGTACTGATCATGTAAACAAAGTCAAAGGACAAGCAGTACAGCTGAGCCACACTGTAAGAAGCAATGAGTAAACCCCAGAAATTTCCAAACTGCCACAAACAAAGTAGAGACACTGTATTTAATGCTGCGCCAGAGCACAGCAATTTGAACCTCACCTATGTGCTTTGGTACCAGTGCCTCAGAAGCTCCCACTTCATCTGCAGCCGAAATGGGGTTCCCGGCTTGCAGAAGGGATGTAAGAACACCACTTTTCTTATCATGTTGTTCTTTTAGTTAAGGGGCGCAGCTGATAGCTGTCAGAAAATAAACTGCTTCTGTTTGATAGATACCTGTGTAGCATGTCTTTGTACTTTGAGAACCCAGTGTCAGACCTGAGACTTACTCTTGCCGGCACAAACTTGGTTTTGGAATAAACAAAATAAGTCTATGAACTACATAAGGTAAACTTTAAGTAATTAGAAGGGATAGCAAACAGAACAAAGCAAAGTATGGAGCAAATAAAACAAAACACACAAACTAAGTTTAATACACTCAAGAAATAGGTTAAAATAATAATTTCACACCCTAAATATTGTTTTGGTCAGGCTACATAGTTTCTGCAGCTCACAGATACAGTTATTTCTCTTTAGATTCCCCTCTCTCAGCTTTGATTCAGCTCCATGCTCTGGTTGCCCCTAGTCTCTGATTGAGCTCAATGGGAGTTGTGTCCACTATTAACACCAACATAAGGCTCTGAAGTAAGTTGCTCTAGTGAGGCACTTAAAGCAAAAATAAATTACAACATAAATGTTTGTTCTGAGCCCACAAATTCATATATCATTCCTTCTCCAACTGGTCATATGTAAACAGGTAAGGAAAAGAAAAGAATGGGGAAAAGATTTGCAACTCAATCCATACTCTTCTGCTTTTCAAACTTCTTTGATGCTTA